GTGAATACTGGAAAACATAAATTAAAACTCAAAAACCTTTAAACGTCCAGTAGTACTCAATTTAATAATAAACAAACGTTTTTGACCGTACTTTCGGTCTTCATCAGGTTTAAAAACCAGTTAGATTCGAACCTGTGCAAGTGTAGAACAATGATTCCCATACTGCTTTTGAGTTAGTGGCAGATGTTATGCTGGAGACATACTTCCTCCAAGAATCCCTTTGGCTTTACCTCCTTATTCTTCTGGCATTTGCCTTTGCTTTTTGAAAAGCAATCAAATTGCTAGCAGTGGGGCATCTTCTGAAAATCTTCCATGCTTTCTTTTGTTCTTTAAATGCTGCCTTGCAATTCTGATTCCACCATGGTTTTGGATATCTGGTTGATGTTTTTCCCATTGTTTTTTCAGCAGCCTGAATAATACTAGAAGTGACAGCTTCAACTGCACCATTGATATCAGCAATATTCACTACTTCCTAAGAGATGTTGGCAATAGAGGAGAATGTAGGCCAATCAGCTCTCTCCAGTTTCCAGCATGGTTGACAGGCTGTTCCACAGCTTTCTCTTCCTCGATATTTTAGAAATATTGGGAAGTGGTCACTAGAGAGTGGATTACATCCAACCTCCCATGTAAATGCTGAAAACAGATTTGGACTTGCTAATGATAAATCAATGGCAGTAAACGTTCTTGTTTGAGCGTGGAAGTATGTCACTTCTCCAGTATCAAATACATACAGTTAATGATTGCCTATAAGTTGCTCAATGGCTCTGCCTTGACGATTGATGTTGGGACTGCACCACATCGGATTGTGGCCCATTGAAATCACTGAATAGAAGTCAAAGAACACACTCATAGACTGAATCTCTGATTTTTTAGTTGATTTAAAGAGGGCTGCTTTCACTCTTTATTTGTTAAGTGGGTTTTTATTGGCCTTTTTAGAACCCGCATTTCTGATTATTAACCCCGTTTTAGTTAGGGGTGGTTTTGTCTTCTTGCTCTCCTTTTCTGCCATTTGGGTAGATGGTATCAGCAAACATTTTGCATGGCGAGTGAGAGATTCATTTGGTGAGACAGAAATATCTGTTTGAACCCCACATATTTGTGGANTATCTGGTTGATGTTTTTCCCATTGTTTTTTCAGCAGCCTGAATAATACTAGAAGTGACAGCTTCAACTGCACCATTGATATCAGCAATATTCACTATTTCCTAAGAGATGTTGGCAATAGAGGAGAATGTAGGCCAATCAGCTCTCTCCAGTTTCCAGCGTGGTTGACAGGCTGTTCCACAGCTTTCTCTTCTTCGATATTTTAGAAATATTCGGAAGTGGTCACTAGAGAGTGGATTAGATCCAACCTTCCATGTAAATGCTGAAAACAGATTTGGACTTGCTAATGATAAATCAATGGCAGTAAACATTCTTGTTGGAGCGTGGAAGTATGTCACTTCTCCAGTATCAAATACATACAGTTAATGATTGCCTATAAAGGCTGTTATACACGTTACGGAAATCCTCAAAGGATGTACTTAACAGACGAAAAAAAATCGGATATAACTTTCTGGATCGAACATAGTAATTTACAAAACTTATTAAAATATTTCCAACGTATAAAGAATTATTTTTATTTAAAGGTGGATAGACAGAAAAAAAATCACGGTTATTCCTCAAAGGATTTCCGTAACGTGTATAACAGCCTTAAGTTGCTCAATGGCTCTGCCTTGACGATTTATGTTGGGACTGCACCACATCAGATTGTGGCCATTGAAATCACTGAGTAGAAGTCAAAGAACACACTCAGACTGAATCTCTGATTTGTTAGTTGATTTAAAGAGGGCTGCTTTCACTCTTTGTTTGTTAAGTGGGTTTTTATTGGCCTTTTTAGAACCCACATTTCTGATTATTACCCCTGTTTTAGTTAGGGGTGGTTTTGTCTTCTTGCTCTCCTTTTCTGCTGTTTGGGTAGATGGTATCAGCAAACATTTTGCATGGCGAGTGAGAGATTCATTTGGTGAGACAGAAATATCTGTTTGAACCCCACATATTTGTGGATTTCAAAACAGCAGCAAATGTCTTCTGTTTCACTGGTGCACTTAAACGGACCATGCAATGTGCCTCTGGGTAAGGTATATTAATCACAGTTTTCACCCGCTGAATCTCTTTCTCTCTTTGCCATACAGGGCATTTCTGGGAGTAGGCACAATGGGTATCTTTGCAGTTTACACAGCATGGAGTACTTGTACATTCAGTACTCTTGTGATATCATTTCCACACTGAGCACATGCACTTTTCCCTCAGCAAGATATTTGTGAATATCCAAACCGCTGGCATTTGAAGCAACGTAGCGGATTTGGAACATATGGTGAACAAGACAGCACAGATATCCTGCTGTAATAAAAGATGGCAATGTTGATTTGTTAAATGTCAAAATTAGGTTTTTAGTTGGTATCAACTTGCCATTTCGATAAATGGAAATGCATCAGACAGCAGCAACACCTTGATCTGAAAGGCCAATATGAATATCTGATTCATCTTCAGACATCAAATTGATCTCAGATATCACACAACATGATGAGTTTAAACTTCCATGTGGTGTGACAATGACTTCCATGTCTCTGATCATCTTTGTTGCCAAAAGTTTTGCTGACTGTTGAGGTGAGGCTGTTTCTAGAAGCAGATGTCCTGACCTCAATTTTTGTATTTTTTTTTCAGGTGTCCAACTGTAGATTCAAACAATTTCTGAATCAGAAAAGGAGAACATTTAGACAGTTCATGCTACTGGAGAAACACCTCTATCAAGTAGGCTGGCTGATGTTTTGTTGGATTGTCTGGATTTTTTTTAGAACTCATGATTATATAATAATTATTCAGCTCACAGTTCTCAGTGACCCCACCCACCATGAGGCCCAAAAAGAGGATGCTGCACATGGGAAATTCCCATAGACTGTCACATCAGGGTTTCCCAGGAGCTATACCCTCACAATGCAGTCAAGTAGAGCACATCTTGTCTAACGTGACAAAACTGTCAAGCAGGGATGTGTCTGCCCAGTCTGCATCAATCAGATGAATCCAGGCCAAGGTCAAGAATGACTCAGCGACCAGCCGATTGACTCAAATGGAGCCTGATTTGAGCCTCCCATTTATCCGAAGCAGGGGCCAAAGCAGTGTGTTGGGGACATTACGTTGCCCCTCAACTACCAGGATCCACCTTTACAGCATACGGCCACCATGCAAGGCAAACACATGGATGAGCATTCAGATACCAGGGATGGTAAAGTAGAGTTACTAAACCATCTCTGGGAGGTCCCCTCACCATGGACAGGAGCCCACATCAGGAGGCAAACTTATAGTTGGTTTAGTAATGTAATTGCAGTCCAAAATAAATGAGCTACGCTGATGACGAGCATGTAATTTAAACTCTTTTTCAACATTTAAAATACCTTCCAGACAACATTATGATATAAAATGAATAATTAATTATTCTATATGCGGAAGAATATGTAAATAAAAACCAGTTTAACCTGTCCTACGTTGATCCCAAAAATATTCATGTTGACCTGAATGGGTGATCCCGAATATTTCCGTGTTTACATCGGAATGTTTTTGATACTATATGGCGCTTTGCATCACAATTTTTATATTAAAACAAACTTTTAAAATAAAATTTTTTTCGTTTTTATATTATTCTATATATATTTTGTTTGTGAAACATAAACTAATTTTTTACAATACAGTAAACACGATTATTTTTTTTTTTTAAATTTAGGCTCAACATGGCATCACAGGCAACAAATAAAAATTTCAACGTCGAATAGGCCTATAGAAACAAGGTAATACCTTCTTATCCAACAAAACACTTAAAACTTTATAGTAATGAAACTGTTGAGTAATGTTGATTCTTTGGACTGATCAGTAATCAAGTTTAGCATCTCTATTTCCTTACAAAATACCTATGAGGTTAGTCCGGAAAGTTCACAAACTTTTAAAATTACACACCAATCAATAATTGAATCCAAATGCAGCTTGCACAGCTCTCTACCGACAAGTTTTTTGTTCTGTCTTCATTTATTGTTGTGTTTACATAAGTGAACATAGAATATGTTGATTGCATTTTGTGATTTTCTTTCCATGAGTGCAATTTAGTGAAGAGTTCCAGAATGGGCTTAGGTGTAAAAAATTTGATGAAAATCATCATCACTGAGGATGGGACATGGGTCTATGGGTACAACGTGGAAACAAAATGTCAGTCATCACAGTGGATGGGAAAATCTTCACTGCGACCCAAACAGGCACGACAAGTTCAATCAAATGTGGAGCTCTTGCTCACTGTTTTGATTGATTCTGGTGTCACTCAACAGGAATTTCTTCCAAAAGTGAAAGACAGAAAATAAGGATTACCATATGGAGCCAATGAAACATCTGACTGTTTGGAAAGAATGGCATCATGACAATGCTACCATCCACACAATACTGCTGATAACAGAGTTTTTGGCCAAGAACTCCAATACCATTTGTTCTTCAACATCGAAATTCACTAGATTAAACCCCCAGCAGGCTTCTTTTTGTTTCCCAAATAAAAATCTGCTCTCAAATGTTGCCATTTTGAACCCATTAACACCATTAAGTAAAATTTGCTAGCGGAGCTGTGCATCATCTCAAAAGAAACATTCCGGAAAGTGTTCTTTTCATGGCAAAAATGCTGAATTTGGTATATAGACTCAGGAGGAGACTACTTTGAAGGCAAAAAAACCAAATAGCTTCTAGGTAAATGTAAACAACTTCTATTTGCAAAGTTTGCAAACTTTCCGTACAGACCTTGTATTTTATAGCATTTGTACTGTTTTCTAACTTCTTGTTACTTAATTTTGTTTTTATGGAAAGAAAATTTTTGAACAACAATCTTAAAATTTTATTTTGTACTAATGATGCATCTTAAAATTGAGGATATATGATATATTACTTAATGATGTTCTAAAGAAGTCAAGTAAAATTTGAAAATTAATTACCATTGTAAAATAAACAGTCATCAAAATACGACAGCGTAATCGTATAGGCTCGAAGTAATTTATCGGCTTCTTGATTATTTTCTTTGTTCCAAGGCATTACTTTACCACGTGGCATAGTCCAAGGTTCAAATATATTATTCAGTTCTTCCCATAAGTTTACAATAACATCTGTAAATGTATGATATGAATTATTATTATTTTGAAAAAGGTTTTGTATGTAATTTATAACTCTGAATGTTTAAATGTCTAACCTCAAATTGATGTTTTAGACATTTAAACATTGCTGTAAAAATCATCATCTAAAATAATATTTGGTTCAAATTTCAACCAAATTATGTTTGTATATTTTAAAATATAATCATTTAACCCAATCTTTTAATATTAATGCCAAACTTAGGCTGTATTAATAGTAGCATTAATAAAGCCCAATTCAATCTGACAANAAAATAATATTTGGTTCAAATTTCAACCAAATTATGTTTGTATATTTTAAAATATAATCATTTAACCCAATCTTTTAATATTAATGCCAAACTTAGGCTGTATTAATAGTAGCATTAATAAAGCCCAATTCAATCTGACAATTGTTTGGCTTTAATATATATATTATTTTTTCAACTAATGCTTGGAATCTGAAAATCAGAGAATGTACAGGATCAAATAACTCTAATATTAAATATTTATTTTTGTATAAAAAATATTTTCTTTTTTATCTTTAGACTTTTCATCTGTGATACCAATTCAATAGTAACTAGCTAAAGACAAGCATAAATACTACTCTATAAAATAGATGTGAATAGATAACAAAGTACAATTCATGTGGCCCATAATGTATTGCAAAAAGCAGATCTTTTTGCTAAAACCACTCAACACTCAATCCATAAAATTTTTATTCATATTAATAAATGACATTGATTGCTATTTATTAAATATGCAACGGGTCTATAATTGCAACACTGCTGACATTAAGTGGAAGGTGCCTGTATAATCTGTTCTGAAAAGCAGATATTTTGTGGGAAAATGTTAACTGGAAGACTAATTTTTCCCATTTAAAATAATAATGTTACAATGTAAATCCAAAATTTCCAATTAATTACTGCATTACAGATGTGATTGCATACAATTTTTCTTTATTGCCACACAACTGCATGCATGCATACAGCATTACTGCATTAACATGTTCACACACCGTACTAATAAGAGCTCGACACTCATCTTTGGTAATTTCATCCCAAACTTCCTGAATTTTTTGACAAACCAGTCCACTATGGTGATCTTCCCCCACAGATTTGTTTTTATTGGAAATGATCTAGACTTCTAGATAGCCAATGCAACCCATTAATGTTGTGATTTGCAAGCCATGTCCTTGCAGCTTATGCACTTTTTCAACAGGCTGGTGAAAGTTGCCAAATTATAATTGAGTTTTGCAGTTTTTCCAGATGTGAGAAAAAGCTTCCTTAAGAGTCTGATGATATTTTTCTGAATTTGCTGTTCCATTGATAAAATGAGCCTGTCTGAGTTCAATGATGTGTGAAGGGAAGGTGGATGTACTGGTATTGTGTGAATCTGAAACATAATGTAAAGGTAAGAGCTTGGATGAGTGGGAGGTTGTTGTGTGTGTATCTTTTGATGTTTCTACAAGAGAATTTGGAACATGGAGTGAGCTTCTATGTTAGTCCCTATCTGAAAGATTGTGTTAGATCTTATGAGTGCATTAATGACAGGATTGTCTGCTTGAGAATGAAAATAGGATGTACAAGGTTACTGTGTGTTGATGTATATGTTCCAGTTGAATCCAGTGTGTTTGAAGAGAAGGACAAATTCTGAAGTGCTCTGTTGGATGTCTTGAACAAATGCAAAGCAAATGAAAGAATTATGTTGTTAGGTGATATGTAGGCATATGTAAGTGTGTAGTGGGCATTTGTGTCAGCAAGTATGGTTTTAATGGAGTGAATGACAATGGTAAGTGCCTAATTGAACTATGTGCTGTAAGGTATTTGTTCATATTCAACACGTTCTTTCCACACAAGTCAATCTACATGTATATTTGATAGAACAGAATACTGTAGCAAAAGAATATGATCAACTTTATGATATATGATGAAAGGTTGAAATGGATTGTGAAAGATGAAAGGATGTGAATTAGATATTGATCTTACTTGGTCAGGTTAGGGATACAATTCCTGAATGGCTGGTGATATAAAGACAAAAAACAATGGAAAGAAAACTTTAGAATGTGTGAAAGTAGAATGTCTGAAGGAGAGAAAATTACAATATAGAGAAAGTGTATCTGCTAAGCTAAATGAGCTGGATGTGCATGTTAGACAAAATCCTGAGAATCTGTGGGATGCTGTAAAAAAATGTAGTGTGTGTGCAAGAGATGTGTGTATGGTACTGTTAAGATGGGTAAAAAAGTGAGAGGCATTGTATGGTTGAACGAAGAAGTTGCTAAATAGTAAAGAGAAAGAAAAAAGCTACCTAAAATATTTAAATGGTGGGAATAAGGATGAGTACAGTGTAAACCATGAATGCAAGGAAATTGTGAAAAAGAGCAAAGAATGTGTTGAGTATGATACAGCAGAGAAATTGGAAGTGGCATTTAAGGATGACCAGAAAGCTTTCTGGCAGTATATGAGGAAGGTGAAAGGTAGTGATGCATATGTGGGTACAAAAAGTTTGAAAGATAAAAATGGTGATCTGTTGTGAAGGAATGTGAATGTATTGGAAAGGTGGAGAGATTATTTCAGTGAACTTTTAGGATATGCAAATGTCAACGACGAGGTGTCTAAGTGTGAGGTTAGAATGCTTGTGAATGAGAACAGTCACGGATGTGAGGAGATTAATGTACAAGAGGTGAGAAGAGCAATTGACAAGTTAAAAATGGAAAAAGCTGCAGGTGTGGATGGAGTATATGCTGAAATGTTGAAATATGATGATGTGTTGTCAGCATGTCTGACAAACCTTTTTTGCTTGTGCTGGGAGAAAGGGTGGGTGCTGAATGATTGGAGAGAAATGATTATTGTTGCCATGTATAAAAGGAAAAGTGACAGTGCAGAATGTAAGAATTATAGAGGTATAAGTCTGCTAAGTATGCTAAGAAAGGTACTTGCATGAATTCCAGTGGAGAGGATGATGAGAATTGCTAGGGAAAACATCTGGAATGCCAAGTGTGGGTTTGTGACAGGAAAGAGTTATATGGATCAAATGATTTGTTCACACCCAAGTACTTTTCAACAGAGGGTTTTTGCAACATTTGTGGATTTGGAGAAAGCATATGATCAAGTGAAAAGAGAATACTTGTGGGATGTTCTCTAAGTACGGGGTGAGTGGGAAGCTGCTTGAGGCAATAAAAGCATTGTATAAGAACAGCAGAGCATGTGTTAGAGTGGCTGAAGAAATGTCAAAGTGGTTCAATGTGACTATGGGCCTGTGACAAGGTTGTCTGATGTCTCCTTAGTTATTAAACATGTACTAGGACAAATGTGCAAGGCAGTTGCCTTGCACATTTGTCTGAGTACATGTTTAATAACTAAAGAGCAAATAAGTGTGAAAGTAAGCAATTGAACATTTCACCATCCATTATATGCTGATATACTGTTCTACTGGCTGAAAGCCAAAGTGAACTGCAGTATCTTACGTTGAATGAAAGCTGTGAAAAAATGGCATTGAGGATAAATGAAGAGAAAACAAAAGTTTTATTGTTTGAAAGAGATGGAGAAATGAATGAGTGCAAGATACAGCTAAATGGTTTGACGATATGGAGTTTGTTTACTTGGGGAGCACCTTTTAGAGGAATGGAAAAATAGACAGGGAGATTGGAAGACAAGTGAATGCTTGTATGAAAGTGGTTGGGTTTACAGGGCAATTGGTTTGTAATATGTTTCCGAAGAAGGCAAGTACGGCTGTGTACAAGTGTGTGGTCCTCCCAACTCTGTTGTATGGTCATGAGGCATAACAGCAGAGTGATTGCAGCTGAGATGAGATAGCTGAGGTGTATATGTAGTGTGACAAGGAGAGATCTGGTGAGTAACGAGAATGTGTTGTGCAGCGCACTGTGAAAGAGAATGCAATTGAACAAGTGCATCAAGGATATCTGTGTTGGTTTGGCCATGAAGAGAGAATGTCAAAAGATGAGGCGTGTAAGAATTTGTATGTGAGAAATGTGGAGGAAAGGAGAGAGTGTGGAAGATTGAGAAGAAGATGGGATGAGCAAGTGGAAGAGAGTTTGAAAGAGAAACAGATTGAGTGAAAGGTGGTGTCAAGAGTGTGTGAAAAGAGTAATGAATGTGAAAAAACAAAAAATGTATGTATGGATAGACAGAAATGGTGCAAGATTGTCAGGTATAAGTAGTGCATGATTTCAGCAGGACCTAGAGTAAAGTTTGGTGAGTGTTCCTGGTGTGTTATGCCCTGCCATATGATGTTCTTCAGAGGACTGAAGCTTGTAAGGTGTTGTGCACAGGAAAGCCACTTTATCTTGGTCAACCCTTTAGCGAATGCCATGAGAGTGTAGTTGTATAAGTGCAATGTACCAAAATCTTGAACAGTCATGTAACTCCATAATACCCTAATGCTTTCTGGAAATTTCATTGTATGATTAAAACACTCAAAAAAGAATTTGTGCTTTCTTTGGATCACTTGTTTTTGTTGCTTCTGATGCAAACTTCAAACTTGGCTTTATTGCTGTTGCACCCAATTTTGACTTTCCTTTATTTTTTCAATTTTTCATTTATGTTTAGTTAATAAGGTCTTTTCTTACCTTGAAAGTGTTGACACATAACCATAGCATTCTCATGCTGTCATATTGAACTGTTATTATATCCGATAAACTTGTAGTCAAGTTTCTGCAAATAAATCCAACAAGTGTCACTTTAGTAACTTGTTTACTAGTGGTTGCATTCTACTCAATCACCAATTCTGTAAGTGATGCTTACCAGTTTTCTTCATAATTTTGCAGAGGAACTTGAGATCAGAAGCTGCTACAATTTTAATCATCCTGGATCAATGCTATCAGAAACTGTTGATTTACTAAATTTTTAGCATTGTAGCTATCTGATGCAAGAAAGTTTACAATTACTTTTCTAATATTGCAGCTTACTGCTTTTCCAGGTGCCATTTGTTTTATGAATTTACACTTAATGAATATTGCTATTGTATAACACATGAAAATTATAAATAGAAACATTTAATTTTTAGTAGTGTCTGGGTATTTTCTGTCAATGCTGAAGGTATCCAAAGTTTCTTGTCATCTGTGATTTATTTAAAATTTAAATAATTTATATGAGAATTTGGACTTTTATTGAGTTAATTACATTTATTGACATTATAGTTCAACACAGAATAATTTTTGTAATTTTTTGTTTTATATTTTCCTATTTTTAAATTAAAATTATGCTATTAATCAAGAGATGGCCAACATATTTTTGTTTGACTTGTATTTGAATTTTCATTTTCTTCCTTTTCCAACATTATATTGAATGTGCATACTAGTAAACACATTTGAAATAAATTTATCAGATTTGTATTTGCCCAAATCCNTCTATACAATTGAGAGTAAAAATAATATATGATTTGTTCACTTTCTTGATAATTGTCATAGAACAGAATTATCATGAACAGAGTCTACAGATAAAAATTTTAATGTCAAAACAATTGAACAATAATTCTTTAAAGACAAATTTATGGACATATTACAAAATTGATGGAATTTTCATTAATATATATATGAAATACTTTTCAAGTTTGTTGAACACTAAAAAAAATGTATTAAAATTATTACTATGTCAAATAATAATAATTGTTTTTTTGTGCTTATAATGTTATTTTTTTAAGATACGATTTTTTTAAAAATCATTTTTACTTACATTTAATTACATAATCAATATTTGTACCAAATTTTATTTATTTGATGCATTTGTATTATATTTTAACAGGATAGTTTAGAAAGTGATTCAGATCTAGATTTAGAGGGTGAGGATGACGATGGATCTGATGTGAGTGATGGAGAACTTGATCTCATGACTCTTGGTGATAGAAAACCGGTGATACCTCAGCATAGCCTTCCAGATAGTGATAATGACTTTTAACACACAAATTGTTTTATAAGTTTGTATTTATTTTGTTTGAAAATTATGTTTAATTGTAAATTTACAGAAAACTATTTTTGGTTTTCAAATTGTTTATATGTTTGAATTTGAATACAAATTAAATTTCTTTGTATCTGTTGTTGTCAATTAAAGCAAAACTCCTGATGACAATCTACGAATTAGATAAAAATACACCAATATAACAGCAGTGTTAATCTGTTTCCTGTTGCAGCAGTACATGTATGTAATGACAATTTTTTAAAAAAAGTTAATTTATCTCCTCCTGCAAATTCCCTGATTTTTTTCAAATTAATAGACATATTGAATAATAAAACCATCAACAAAAAAGAGCAACAAGTAATTTTGAAGCTTGATAAATAAAACAATTATTGAGGGATATTTTTCTTTTATAGATTGTTATTTAGAGTTAAAAGTGTAGATTATGATAAAAGTTTTCAAAATAATAATAAGCTTACCATTTTCATTAATGCTCACGTGAGGATCAAAAAAAATTGAAGAAATTCTCAAATATATCAGACTGTGGCCAAGCATTGTTAATAAATTATAAACAGCAGGCAAGTAATACTTATATTTGTCGAACAAGTTGCTAATTTCACAAAGCTTTTTCTTAAAATGATTTGTAATTAATCTCAAAGTTTCAGATACCTATATTCAAATAAAGAAAACTTCATTTTGACAAAAATATTCCAGTTATCTTTATATATGCATTTATTGTGTAAATAAAATATATCACTCAACTAAATAATATCATTTTCAATGGAAATTGCATATGCTCCAAACAAAAATATTAAAATATTAGATTATTGTAAAACCCCAATTATCCAAGGCTAACCTGTAAGTGAATATACTACATAAAAGAAACTTATAAAATGATTTGTTTAAATACGTGTTATTGTTACCTTTTGTCATTAATTCCAATGTGAGAAACTACTTACATTAAAATGTAACTAGAGTATTACACATCTTTTATTCTTAACACTATTGTACATAGGCCTATTAGCTGTATAATAAATGATAAAAATTGTTGTTCTTATATATAATTAAATCCAGCAAAGTATAAAAAGAGGTTTAAAAATGCTACCCTATCTTTTATAATTGCAATTTTTAATTAAAAATAGTGGTCTCCATCTGTTTCATTAGTTTTTGGTTATTAAAAAGAGTATCAGTTCGTGTTTCCCTGGATAATCGGAGTTCTGCTGTAATAGAACTTTTATTTTGTCCTGCATACATAACTTTAAGTTATACACAAATATATTTTAAATTTTGGTTTTAAAATACAGCTTAATCCAAATTTTACAACATACTGAATTATTAATCTGTGTTTAAATTTTAAAATACTTACATCAGGAAGCTGTAAACACGATTTAGAGATGTAATTTACTATCAACTTGTTATCTATCTCCACATCCAATGACTCTAAAGGATATCCCACGGAATTCAAAAACATTAACCAAACATTTTTATGCAGTAGAAATTTATCAGTGCCTGAAAACAATTAACAATAAAATATGTAATGGATTTTACAAAAGGCATTTTCTACTATAAATTTAAAAATGTTATTAAAATGCTAAAAAGTAATAGGATATACTTAAAAACTTTTTAAAAAATTTCAGTTGGTTGTTATGTAAATATCTAAAACAGATAATTAATTGTTAAGATCCAAACTTTTTTTTATCTCTGATAAACAGGCAGTAAAGAAGGAAGAGACACTAAAGAATAACCAAATAAAAATTAATTCACTTCTCTTCAATAACTTTATTGTGTAAATGCATTTCAATTCAACAATCCTCATAATATCACAGAGTTTCTCCAGAGTGGCTAGCATATAACTGTAGATGGTGTTGATGAAAAATACAAATTTGAATCATCTGACAATTTATCATTTTTCATCAACACCATCTACAGTTATATGCCAGCCACTCTGGAGAAACTGTGATATTATGAGGATTGTTGAACTGAAATGCATTTACACAATAAAGTTATTGAAGAGAAGTGAATTAATTTTTATTTGGTTATTCTTTAGTGTCTCTTTTTGTTTTTTTTTATCGTTTTATCTTGGATAAATAGTCGGTAAAGAAGTTTGGATCTTAGGGGGCCATCCATAAATTACGTAACGGCAATTTTGGCCATTCTAGACCCCCACCCACCAGTGTAAGAAACCATAATATTTTCTTTGATCCCCTCCCCTCCCCTATCTTACGTAATATTTAGGCATGATTTTATAGAAAAATTTTAACAAAAAAAAATTTTTTTATAAAACCCTAAAAACTTTAGGTTCAAAATAATTAATTAACATGTACTATTATTTATAAAAGACTTTATGTGAATAAATTTAAAAATATAATGAATTCAAATGAACAATTTATTTTAAGAACTTTATTTTTTAATTATTAACAATTGATTTATTATTATTATTATCATCGTCATAATATTCACTTTTATATTAATTTTAATTTTCACAAAAAACTTTGACAGATCGACAACTAGTGCACGTGTAAACAGAAACGTTGTACAAAATAAAACAAAAGAGAATAGAAACCACATTCCATTGCCATATTAATTACATTTTGGATCTTGGATAAGGTCAATAAAATAAACTACATGCTGCTAAAATGTGATAGGTGCACCTGGGGAATAAATCAAAGCTTCTAAAACTCTATATAATAGGACAATACAACTAATGCTACTTTACGCAGCCTCTAGCTGGGGTCATGCAACTAGTAAAAATTCAGTAGCAAGTAAATTACTCTCTCTTCAAAGACAGTTTGCCATCAGAATTTCAAAGTGCTGCAGAATTGTTTCTACTAATGCCTCTGATACTAGCAGAGTTTCTTTTGTACTATGTATTGTAAGAAAAGGTTCTAAACTACTACATCAAGGCTCAACAACAGTCTCTACTCCTATCTACAGCTGTTTATATGCTACCACATTGCAATTACCCTACTAAATGTGATCACCACCCTGTAAACAAGGTGATGATCACATTTAGTGTAAACAGGGTACATTCGGTGTCCTCTGCTTCCTCCATGAATAACCATGCAGACATTAATATCTATACAGATGGGTCTAAAAGCTCCCTTCATGTTGGCTCAAGTATCTATCTTCCTCCAAACTCACATATTTTGCCCAAAATATGTTAAAAGGTACAGATACTTCCCACATACCTCCATCTATCAAACTGAAGATGATGCTGACTACCAAGCTGTTCAGTGGTCCACTTCGCTACCAAACAAAACTTTGTCTATCAACATTTACAGTGATTCTCAGTCTGTCCTAGAAGCTCTATTAAATCCCAATTGCAATAGCAATAAAATGACATATATCCTACACCATATTAAAAATCCAACTCAACTCANGGTTGTTATGTAAATATCTAAAACAGATAATTAATTGTTAAGATCCAAACTTTTTTTATCTCTGATAAACAGGCAGTAAAGAAGGAAGAGACACTAAAGAATAACCAAATAAAAATTAATTCACTTCTCTTCAATAACTTTATTGTGTAAATGCATTTCAATTCAACAATCCTCATAATATCACAGAGTTTCTCCAGAGTGGCATATAACTGTAGATGGTGTTGATGAAAAATACAAATTTGAATCATCTGACAATTTGTCATTTTTCATCAACACCATCTACAGTTATATGCCACTCTGGAGAAACTCTGATATTATGAGGATTGTTGAATTGAAATGCATTTACACAATAAAGTTACTGAAGAGAAGTGAATTAATTTTTATTTGGTTATTCTTTAGCGTCTCTTTTTGTTTTTCTTTTTATACTTTCATCTTGGATAAATAGTCGGTAAAGAAGTTTGGATCTTAGGGGCCATCCATAAATTACGTAACAGCAATTTTGGCCATTCTAGACCCCCACCCACCCCTGTGTNTACAGTGATTCTCAGTCTGTCCTAGAAGCTCTATTAAATCCCAATTGCAATAGCAATAAAATGACATATATCCTACACCATATTAAAAATCCAACTCAACTCAACTAATCCAAAATTCATTGGAAATTTCTCTATCTCAAGACATTGGAGAAACATACAACCGGAAAGAACCAGAGTGGTACAGTATTATTCTGGATTACCCTTTTAATAATAACTACATGTTATCAAATATGCCATTTGCAAATCAAGAAATTTATTATCCAACTTAGATTAAATAAAATGATGATTTTGGTAAATAATAAAATTTATGAATTCTTGAAACATACTGTCCAAAATGTAAAAAAATATTGACTAAACTTCATATGTTTGTGAATACAAGGAAGGCCAGAAACTAAGGATTAATGGTGAGCTAAATCAGCTAAATACCTTTAAGGAAAAAAACCAAATGTTATTTCATTTAGCAAACACTACAATGATATACCAATTGTATAATTTCGCAAAAAATTTTTGTAACCGGCCTCTCTAATTTTATATGTAACAAACCTGATACACATAGGTTTTGTAATTTTAGGGCACTTAGTTTTACATGATTGTTGTTCATGTTAATATAAGTAAATTTGGATATAATGTAAGTCTAACATCCTGTTATAACAGGCTATGGCCTATTATGATTAATAAACTTGATGTGATTGATTTTAATTAATAATTTTAAGCATGTAACAAAACAGCTAATTTTGAATTATATTTTCTTCCCGTTTATTGATATAATATAAAATTTCAGTTATGATTCATATTCTTTAATTTTACACTTATAAAAAAATTCTTAAGTTTTATTAAGACACATCCAAAATCTTGTTAAGAATCATAGCCCAAAGGACTGACAAATTTTATAAATATAAAGTATACATATACATATATAAAAAACTGAACAATGTTAATACTTTACAGCTGTGTTATCTATTCTACAAATTTTCCATTATTTCTTTCATATTAAAAAATTCATTTTTTATTCTTCATCTTTGTTGGATAAGTCAAGAATTCTCTAAGTATAGTATAAACTACATGGGTAGGCTGAAAAGTAATGTACACATGCTTGTAGAACACGAACAAAAACAAATTNCATACGAGGTCATAGCAACTTGCCAACCCCCATGTCACAACGTCAGGCATAATTGACAAACATCCATGATGTCACAATTCCCTTTTGTGGTGATTTTGAGAAGCCTCCTTAACTAATGATATTAAAAATTTTCTACTCTGACATCATGTCAGAACAGAAAATTGTCATCTTTCACACAATTTGAGCATAAAGTGGCAATTTACAGAGTGGGTTTTTTGAGAGCATTTGATAAGTGGAAAAATTTTTCAATTAAAATTTTTACACAGTCAGATGCATGTAGCATGAGTATATCATACTAAGCATGGCTAAATAAGTCAATTTGGTGAAAATTACAGTAAAAAAACTAATAGGTGCAGAAAATTGTGGTGACCATGATTTTCATTAAAAAATAATAATAATAATAATAATAATAATTTCATTATCAGTAAGTCAGAAAAATATTTAAAGATAAGCCTACACTGTAAAAGTTAAATGGTTTAATTTTTGTTGCACTTATACTTTTTAAAATATTAAAAAATTTCATTACAGTAAAAAAAAGAAACAATTAAATAAAATGTTGCTCCATATTTAATAGTTTAAATCTACAATAAATCCATGCTTATTGATATTATATAAAATGAGCTGGTAAACACAAAAACACCTTAAGCTTATTAAGGAAATAAACTGAATACAAGTTTACATATTTTAAAATAAATGCTTCTATATTGTTTAAAAGCATAAACTGTCATAATGCTATATCACAAGTCAAACTCACTTTGGACATAATTAGATAGTTTTATTTTTATGCTTTGTATTTGTCTAGTGTAATTTAAAAATTCAAATTCAATATAACACTAAGAATTCATAATTCTATTGATTTTCTACAGATTAAGATTTAACTGATAAAAATATACCCACTTTAAATAATTAGTTATGTGAACTGCAGAAATTTTAAAGTTTTCAGGAAAAGGTTGCTGTATCTCTCTGTAAATAGTATAATGTTCACATCTGTTAATTTCAATCTCGTTCTTCATTTTTGTATCGCATTTCATCTGTTTACACTGAAAAAGAATAATTTAATTTAATTTTTGTTTCTTTTTATATAAATTAATATCACACTTCTCAACAACACCGTGTTAAAGCAAAATTAAACAACTACAAACCTTTACGGTGTGATATTATATAAAATAATCAAGAAAAAAGGTCCCACAAACGTTTTCGAACTGAAGTAGGTTTTTCCTCAGGTGAAAAAAACTTAAATACATAAAAAAATCATTCGATGGAACACAAAATTTGAATGAGATACGATCAACGAAATCCATGAATTCTACCGCTGATGTCATCAATAGGCATGCATATTCTTCCGATGTAAACGTTTTTAATTTTATAGAATATTTTTTCTGTCATGTATAAGCGTTTCCCATGCTAGGGATAGAGATAACTCATCCTTATTATTAATACACCTGTTGTCTTGGGCCGCTTTATATATAGAAATCG